GTCTAGTTATATGCTGGACAAACGTACTATACACAAGAAATTTCAACCACATTCTATTCAGTATCAAGCTATATGTGGATACTTTCTATTGATTTAGGTGAGGACAATGTTGATAACAAGTTCTTAGAATATGTATATTTATTATTAAATTTGTTTATTTATTTATTCTTTGTAAAAGTTAATACTAATTTTGGCCAAAAAATACTTTCTTTTTAATCAGTTTTTTGGCCCAAATACTAATTGGCCTAAATTAGGGTTGGCATCTCTGATATAGTTTTAAGTCTCAAATCCTTCAATGTTATATCAGCATTTACTGGCCAGCTGGAGAAAAGTGTACAGAAGTAGCTAACTGGCATCACTGAAGAATACTTCATATGTTCTGTGGTACCAGACTTAACAAGCGCACTCAAGAACCTCCGAATATCACCTGTGATAGTCAGGTCAGTCATACGCAAGGCATGATATAGCGATGACAGTGCTGCCATGACATTATTAAGTACCGTATATTACCGTCTATAAGCTGACCCCATAGATAAGCCCACTCCCAAACTTGACCCTTAAAATCAGTGTCAAAATGGTATGTTTCGTGCATGTTTGAACTTGCTTGCCAGGAAACGTGTGCACAGCTTATTGCTATTTCCGGCTCAAATACACACGGTAATCTTATTCTTACTTAATTTATAGTGCAAAAAACTGTAATTAAAATTACACAATTGTAGGATATATTTCTTTGGGTTAAATAATAGTATTCTGTATTATATTTTACTGATGACTGCGCCAGAATTCATCCTGCTATATTATTGTGCATGTTTGAACTTGATCGCCGGGAAACGTGTGCACAGCTGATTGCTATTTCCGGCTCAAATACACACGGTAATCTTATTCTTACTTAATTTATAGTGCAAAAAACTGTAATTAAAATTACACAATTGTAGGATATATTTCTGTGGGTTAAATAATAGTATTCTGTATTATATTTTACTGATGCCTGCGCCAGAATTCATCCCGTTATATTATTGTGCATGTTTGAACTTGGTCGTCGGGAAACGTGTGCACAGCTGATTGCTATTTCCGGCTCAAATACACACGGTAATCTTATTCTTATTTAATTTATAGAGCAAAAACCGTAATTAAAATTACACAATGGTAGGATATATTTCTGTGGGTTAAATAATAGTATTCTGTATTATATTTTACTGATGACTGCGCCAGAATTCATCCCGTTATATTATTGTGCATGTTTGAACTTGCTCGCCGGGAAACGTGTGCACAGCTGATTGCTATTTCCTGCTCAAATACACACGGTAATCTTATTCTTACTTATTTTATAGAGCAAAAACCATAATTAAAATTTCACAATTGTAGGATATATTTCTTTGGGTTCAATAATAGTATTCTGTATTATATTTTACTGAAGACTGCGCCAGAATTCATCCCGCTATATTATTGTGCATGTTTGAACTTGCTCGCCGGGAAATGTGTGCACAGCTGATTGCCATTTCCGGCTCAAATACACACGGTAATCTTATTCTTACTTAATTTATAGTGCAAAAAACTGTAATTAATATTACACAATGGTAGGATATATTTCTGTGGGTTAAATAATAGTATTCTGTATTATATTTTACTGATGACTGCGCCAGAATTCATCCCGTTATATTATTATTGTGCATGTTTGAACTTGGTCGCCGGAAACGTGTGCACAGCTGATTGCTATTTCCGCTCAAATACACACACGGTAATCTTATTCTTACTTAATTTATAGTGCAAAAAACTGTAATTAAAATTACACAATTGTAGGATATATTTCTGTGGGTTAAATAATAGTATTCTGTATTATATTTTACTGATGACTGCGCCAGAATTCATCCCGCTATATTATTGTGCATGTTTGAACTTGCTCGCCGGGAAACGTGTGCACAGCTGATTGCTATTTCCGGCTCAAATACACACGGTAATCTTATTCTTACTTAATTTATAGTGCAAAAACTGTAATTAAAATTACACAATGGTAGGATATATTTCTGTGGGTTAAATAATACTTAATAGTATTCTGTATTATATTTTACTGATGACTGCGCCAGAATTCATCCCGTTATATTATTGTGCATGTTTGAACTTGATCCCCGGAAACGTGTGCACAGCTGATTGCTATTTCCGGCTCAAATACACACGGTAATCTTATTCTTACTTAATTTATAGTGCAAAAAACTGTAATTAAAATTACACAATTGTAGGATATATTTCTGTGGGTTAAATAATAGTATTCTGTATTATATTTTACTGAAGACTGCGCCAGAATTCATCCCGTTATATTATTGTGCATGTTTGAACTTGATCGCCGGGAAACGTGTGCACAGCTGATTGTACGATAAATGTCATAATGACTAATATGTAATAATATGTTGAAATAATGAAAACGTACAGGTTAATATGTATTTTATTCATCATTTGCAACATAAACGCTGTTATCGTGGCAAACATCCTGGCAGATGTACCGGCAACCTGTAACATCGTCCTGGCAGGGCACTGGCGAGCTTAAAAATATTTCCGTGAAATTGTACCTCATAGATAAGACGACCCCCTTCTACAGACATATTTTTTTGGTCCTCAAAATTCGGCTTATAGACGGTAATATACGGTAATGATCTATGCTTAGACGAGGAATTTGCAAAGAAACGAAAGACAAGATATAAGACCTTCCTCTGTAGAGGGGGATATGAGATATGACTTTTTATCCCCCTGGCATGTAATGCTAAGGGATATAGTCGATGCCTCGTCCGTCTGTCAGTCCATCCGTAATCATTTTGTTTCCGGAGCAGAATTGAAAAAACATTCTATATTTTTCAACAAAATTTGGTAGATATATCAAACAACCTAAAGTGGTGCCTTTTGATATTTGCAGATTTTTGTCGTTATTTTTCTCGGTTTCCATGGAAACGATTCAGACTTAGTCTCAAAAGGGAGGGTGGGCTTCGTTTTGAGAGCACAACTCGAAAAATGTTAAATATCTTTCCGCAAAACTTGGCAGATATGTCAGACAGATACCAAAGTGGTGCCTGCTAGTTCCAGATTTTTGGCATTTTCATTTTTTCTGGTTTCCATATGGAAATGATGTGGACTCAGACTTTAAGGAACTGTCGGATGACTTGTTCTTTCAAATATGTTGGGGCCAGGGGGGATTTGTCATCTTCTGATGACTCTTGTTTCATAATAGCCATAAACTGTGTTCTCAACACAGAGTTATGAGTCTAAAGTGTAGATTTAGTCCAGCATAGACGAAACTGTGACACTGCTCTTACAGGCCAACCTCTCTCTGTGAGATTAGCTCTCCACACACTGTCCAAGCTGATATCTTCCATCCTAGATTTCTCCTTGGCTCAGAAACTGGACTAGCTGTCTTACAAAAATAATATGGACTACATGAGAGGCTGAATGGCAAGACTGTCCATCTATAATAATTACCTTCAAAGGCAAAACCAAGCAATTATCTATCTCCATGTCTCATTGGAATGTGTGAAAATCCATCTTTAATGTCAACACTTAACAGTCATTCTTAAAACCTCTTCTAAAACAAAAAGAGTTCAGAACACAAAGATCTGTGATCAGTCTGGATTTTCCTGACTTCTTGGGGCGGTGGGGTAGCCTAATGGTTAAAGCGTTGGCTCGTCACGCCGAAGACCCGGGTTCGAATCCCCACATGGGCACAATGTGTGAAGCCCATTTCTGGTGTCCCCCGCAGTGATGTTGCTGGAATATTGCTAAAAGCGGCGTAAAACCAAACTCAGTCAGTCAGTCAGTCCTGACTTCTTTGGCACACACCCCAACTGTGAAACACATTTTGACTTTGATTCACATAGTTCCATAGCAACGAGTGCCTGAAGTCACCTCAAAGGAATTACCAAATATGTACAACAATGTTGACATATGACCTCACAACCGGTGACCAATTGTTGCAAAATGGCGGGTTCACAGACATTGGTACACAGGACTTTGCGAGGGCCATTCCCTTGATTCAAGGATTGTTTGTACGTATATATGCCATGTTAGTAATCGGAAACATTTTGACTATCTGTGAATGGTTATTTGTTTTTATGTTTTCATTGTAAGTAAGAGAAGAAGCCAGAAATGCTAATAATTAGTGTTGTCATTCTGGTTGAATTTGCGTCAGTCATGGCGTCAAGCTGCACAGAAGCTTTGACAATTTTGTATGAATGTATCAAATTACTGTATTGTATCTATTTTTAATTTCCTTTTTCTTGTTGCAATACTCTTTCTATGCATAAGTATTGAGCCTTTGCATACTACTAATAGACGAATAGATGTCTGAAAATTCGAGAAAATGCTACACAATGTAATATCTGAATTTTTCCTTGTTTACATTTCTAAGTGCTGTCTTACGAGCACAGCGTTCGTTTTCACACCCAAAATGTTCTGGTATTAGTGACAAAGACCATTTTTAATTTGATTCTAAAATGTACGAGGAATTCAGGGAAGTATTTGTTGCAGCTGAATATTAAAAATACGTGTCATTCCGATATGGTGGAAAGCTCACCTTGGCATTCATGTTTTCGTATTATCCTACCAGATGATAACACACCTCCACAAAAATTATCCCCTTCCAAAACTAATGGCCTGATGTAACATTCACCTGTGCGCTGGTAGACAGCTCAGTGAAGAATGAAATGTGACTCATCGGCATTGTGTATTTGCTGTAGTTGATATATATATTTAAGTATAACTAAAAAAATGATTGTTACAATTCAGTGAAACCAGAAAATGCAAATTTTATCATTAGATTTGTACAGTTTGTTTACATTTTTCGTAAACTATTTAGAATCTAATCAATTAAGGCTAAACCATAAAACAATATTAGTTTGAAGGGTTATTAAAATTTCTGTTTGCTTTGGTTCAACTGATTTCGGCCAGTTGGTTTATGAGTTATATTGCAAGACACTGGCTTTTTTTACCCATTTCTATGATAACCTATTTGCTTGCAGTTTCCGTCTACTGAAAAGGACACCAAAGGCCTCTCACAGACGTCATCTGGACAATCATCACCAAAGTATCTACTGGGCATCCCCACAAGTGAACCTCAGTTTATGAAGCATGGTAGTGTGAAGACAGTTCCTAACCAACCATTATATCAGAGATACCCATCTCCAACAATTCAGCAGCAGCCTTCTTCTTTAGCTGGCCCTGGAAAGTTTGTGCCTATGCCCCGGGCTAGCCCTTCTCCACAAGTCCAAAGTAATTACACAGGCAGTACAGCAGCTACAACTAATGTACAACTGTCCCACATGCATGAACAATTTAACACTAAAGGCCACTCACCACCACCAATGCAAAAGCAGCCAGGTGCTTCCAGTGTTTCACAGGGCCTTTCTCATCATACTCCATCACCAAGACTGCCATATCCACAGATAGACATGTTCAGAATGCAATCACCAAGACCTGGTCTACCACAAAATGTGACAGCAGCAGATACTCCAACACTACCGCTGTCACCAGCAGCACAGCAGCAGTTGCGAGCAGCTTTGGCACAAGCACCTATTCCTGGGCAGCCTTTCCATAACATGTCACCCAGTCAGTTACTCCAAGTTATGAAGCTAGCTAACCAGATGATGACAACTGCAAAACAGACAAACTTAAACAGTCCTCCAAGTCAACAATCTACATTTTCTCAGGCTCCTGGAACAGAAAGAGTTCAAACATCCCCTAAGGCTCAGACACAACACTCTGCATCACCAAGGATGCCAAATTTTCCTACCTTTTCGGGAACACCTGGATACTCAAATGTCACAGGGGCACCAATGAGACCACCACCTTCATATGGAACATCAAACATTGCCCCTCTCCATAAAGATCCTGGTCAGCATCCATTGAATGCCGGGATGTATGGAGGTTTCAATCCACGTACGATACAGGTATGTAAAAAACATCTACAGTAAATTGCATAGACAGCATATTACAACAGGCATATGATTCTAATGCTAGGGTTACACTATGTTCCCGTTGTTCACGGCAGCCTCGTTTCCTTGAACCGTAGTGTGCCGTGGGATTTTGGCCATTTTCTTCCTCCCAAGTCAAGTTTTATAGGTCCTGCTAAGATATCTCACTGTCAATCACAGTATCTGGGATGGGCTGTTAGGAAAAACACGCTGCTGAATACGGAAGCTCAATGGCGCACTACGGTTTGGACCGCAGTCCACATTTCTTCCCGGCCTGTCACGTTCTGATGGGTTCCCTCATGTTTCTGAATTTTTTTATAAAGGTTTTGACACGTTTAGCATTTTCTCTGGATGAAACGTGGACGCCGGTCAGCTATGGAGCATGTTTGTGCCCACAGCATAAAGAAACAATTCCCAAGCAATAGCAGCCAAAACCCCAAAGAGGAAGAAGATTTTGTGTTTGTATGTTTCATGGGGGCATACATCGAGTCAGCAAGAAGGCCAGCATCAGCTGCAGAGAGAGAATGCCAGAGAATGCAATGTGCCATATCTTGATGGCCCTGTAAACCGTCACACGCCTGGATGCGTTGTGATAGAATGGGACGAATCAGCTACCATACAAATTATCTTGCACCGGGACAAAACAGCAGCAAGGGTGAAACAACCGTGACATAACGCCAAACAAATGTGGCCAACCATGCAAAAACTTGAAAGGACAGTGAGATGCCGGGGAATACACATACCTCCCGTCCCACTACGGACCCACTACGGACTGTTTACAAGTTTTGTTATGGCCTATTATGTGCTGTCACGTCTTGTTGCGTTCCCCCCGTTTAGCTACGGCCTACTAGGTTTCTCATTATTACGTTTTGTTGCTGTGGCCACCAGGAACATAGTGTAACCCTAGTAAAACGAAGGCCACCCTCTAACACTTGAATATTTCAGACTTATCCTATCTCACATTTCTCACGTATTGTACTCTCTCTCTTATGTTGACCATGAAGTGGAAACATGCTGCTGAGCAAAGTTGAACAAAGTTTCTAGCCTCTGTAAGTCCCTCACCTGGACACTCCCCACCGCTCCCGTTCTTGGACGTTTCAGTGCCTTGCTAGAAGCATGCAACACATCATTCTCTTTCTGTCACACTGAGGTGCGGACATGAAACTTTTTTGCAGTCGACCCACAGGTTGTGCATAGACTGTTTGGCTTTATGTGCCTGGACGAAAAGATGTCAGTTTTGCGCCCATCTGAACAATGATGATTTTGCGGCATATTGACGTGTTGGCTTACGGTGAGTTGCAGATACAGATTGAAAGGGAGTGGACGAACATGGTCCATCTGCCCCTAAAAGATCTTGCCATGACAGACCTTTTAAGAAGGCACATAGTAAGTCTCATTCTTTTGATCAAGGACTTCTTAGACACTCCGTCCGATTTGTCTGAGAATTTGGGATGACTGTTTCATCCCTCAGAACCTACTTCAAGTCCTCCAGGGACTAGATGACCATCTGCTGCTCAAAGAGTCGTGTGTACAGTCCCTCCTTGATTCCATGGCAATTTTTTAAGAATTCTGTGGCACATTCTGTATCCCAAATTCTGCAAAACATTCTGCAGTTGAAACTTGAAAAACAACACAAGAAATGATAAAGAATTTCTAATTTAATTGTAAAACACAAAGCTGTCTGGCATGTCTGGTACAATCTCATTCAGGAACTTCTTGTAGGTAAGTCTCAGGTTGTGATAGAGAAACACTAATGTTCTCAGAGAATCTGGTTTCAGGTTTCCTAGCCTTGCAGTAAGGACTAAATTATATAACGAAAAGCTGTGCTCAGCGTCTGCATAGTTAGTTACAGCATTTCTGTATCTTAAAGAAAGTCTTTCTGAATGTGGTACTCTGTCCTGTACTGAGGACCAATATGTCTCCAGATCCACCTGGTCATTTCCAGCCACTCCAGTTGCTTCTGGTGCTAGCACTGTTGTGTACAAAGTAAATTCTAGAAGAGGAACACTCAATTAACCTGGGATAGCTTTAAAACTGAGTTTTATCAAGATGGATAACTCTTTGGATTAAATAACGTGACAGCTTTTAAGAAAGGAAGCCTGGGCTGTCACTCATTAAGATACTTTTCAAGATTGTCCTGGGCTGACTTAAATGCAGTTTTGAAAGTTTCAAGACATTCTAGTTTTGTGGTAAAGGTCATGTCATCAAACCTGCTCAAGATGTGTTGAGTGTTGGGTTATGTCACAATTAGCAACAAAAAAGACCATGAGATCTTCCAAATGTCAAACACATACAACGTACATGGAACCCTGCTTTGGAAGTAGTCATTCAACTGCAGAATATTTTTACATTCTTTCAAGAAAACACTGTATCTTGTAATTCATATCACTCTCTGCAACAGTGAATTCCCTATAAAGATGAACATGCTTTTGATGGTACACAACACAATCAAACCATGAATTGCACCTTGTTGATCAGGTGGCATTATGATCAGGGACTTGTCATCCACTCCACATTTTACTTCAAGAAATGAACGATATCTTGCCTTTCTGTTATTTGCATGAAAAAACATATTGCTGAATCTTTTCACAAATTTGTTAACCACTTTTAAAAGTTTTCTAAATACTTGGCCAATTAGGTTCATTATGTGAGCTATACATTTAATGTGAATAGCATTGGTACAAAGTCCGCTGAGTCAAATGCCCTTTTCATGTACTGGGCATTATCAGTGTAAAAAAACAGAACATCTTTAAACGTAATGTTATGGTTATGAAGACATTCACTGACCACACATAGGGATACTGTAACATGGTTTGTTTGATCAAGAAACATAGCTGAGGCAAGGTAAGCCAACACTTTCTCATCATGCACTTCAACAAGTGGAGTCAAAAGGATATTTACTATGTAACTGGGAGCACGTGTTTACGTTTCGTGCAGATCAAGACATTTCACTTTACTTCCGTGTGTTGGTCGTTAACTTACTTTAGGAACTATACCCTTCTTTGGTCGTGGGTGCAGGAAATATATTTCCTGCAAGGTTTGGGGTATCATACTGGGGTGTCATACTGGACTATGGGAATGCACTACTTGCAGGAATACCCAAGTCTCTCATGCGCAGACTACAGAGAGTTGTCAGTATAAAATATTAACTTACACCTTCAAGGCCCTGCATGGAACTGCTCCAGCATACCTACAGGAACTCACCACACCGTATAATCCGACTTGATCTCTACGGTCTGAGTCAGCCTCTCTTCTCACAGTACCTAGAAAACACACAGCTGTTGAGTTTATTGTTAATAAATTATGTCTTTATTTGAGAAATTTGTTGGTTGTTAATTGCTCCTCTGCATCCATGAACTGGGAACAGGACAGCTTTGATTCTGAGTACACAAAATACAAAACGCGAAGCATCATGGTCGTATGTCGTAAAGCCATTCCCGTTACAACTACATATCTTCCCTCCTCATCACCAAGTTCATCAAAGATGACAGCAACTGGTTTGTTTTGTAGTTTTTCCTTCAATGCAGCCTTTTCCACTACATATACATCAACCAACTATACATCTTGCAGTCTGTGTATCTAACCTGTCAACTTTATTACTAAAAGGAAATCTGAATTAATTTCAGTCTTCAAAATGATCGATTTTGTGAACACAATTGCAGTGTCAATTCAAATGATATTATTGAAAGGTGCTTAAGAAAAGATTAATTGTTACCTTGGATATGGTGGGCGTTTCACAAGCTACATCTACAATCTTATCGGGATCAGGGATCCCACTGGCTTCGGTGATTCTTCCGGGATCAGTGATCTCTCCTTCTTCTTCTTTTTCTTCCCTTCTTCACTGTTTTGTCTGGGACCGGCGATCCTTCCTTCATCGACGACCTTTCCAGGATCTGCGATCCCTCCATCTTCTACGAGTTTCACGGGATCCGCAAATATTCCAGGTTCAGCGATCTTGTCTACGGGCTTCAGGGCACCTTTGATTATGCTGCCTGCACCAGCCTACAATACACAAGTGGCGATCTTCACGGGATCGTCGAATCCCCTTTTGTCAGCTTTCAGGGTGCAGACAGTGAGTCTACCTGGTGCGTTGATTCCTCCACCATCAGCTTACAATTTGAGTTTGGCAGTCTTCCCAGGATTGGCGATCCATTCTTCTGTGGCTTGTAATCCACATGCAGTGAACTTGTTGGGTTCCTCGACCGCTCCAGTGTCTTCTTTCCACTTACGATCAGTGATTTAAACTTCGGCGTTTTCTCTTGGATCTACGATCCCTGTGGTTTCTTCATTGACGGCAATTTGGTCTGCAAAAATGCACTTCTTCTACAGTGGCGCTCTCTATAGGATCGGCGAGTACTTCTCTTCCGACGCTTCTACTAGTTCATGGCAGCTGATTCTTCCGGTATCATGGGATCACACTTGTAATACATGGCTCTCTCAGAACTTTGATTTCAAGGCTACAGGCGGTATCTGCAGCACTTCAACAACCCCAGCTTTCAGACCTGACACCTTCTCAGCCGCAGCAGATACCCCCAGCTACAGCATCACTTACCAATGTTCGACGATCATCAGCTCCATCTCCCTCCTACTCCAACGAGATGTCTACTCCAGAAGAAAGTGTTGAGCTAGTCGATGTGTACCCTTCTGATAAGTGTTAATTGGCACGGCTCCAACGTCCGAAAGCTATTCTAGTACTTTTGGGGTTGAGTCCCATCCGGGATTTGAACCTACCCCCTCAGAGTCAGGCACCTAATCCAGTCCCATCAACCCCAAAAGTACTAGAATCTGTACTTTATTAAGAAAGTGTAATCCCAAATATAACATATGTTACATTTGACCACTTTCTAAAATGGCATTGTGTATTTCATAGCTTTTGGCCGTGGGAGCCGTGCCAATTAACACTTATCAGAGGGGTACACAAAGTCCACAGTCTATACTACCAGTTGTCCGACTTCCATTTTTGTGGAAGCCGCGGT